TGCCACATTTGCAGCACCTCTGGAGGCAGGCACGTCCATGATACACATAGAGTTGGGAATAGGAGAATCTACTCAGTCAGGTGTCTGCTCTGTGTCTGGACAAGACAATCTGTGCCATGACATTTGAATCATGACAAAACAGAGCCACCAGTGAGACATTGTCTGTCTTTTATTACCGCTGGTACAAAGAATAATCTTACTCTAAAACGATAGCCCTTGAAGCTTTTAAAAGTGTTTAATTCCCGTTTAAGTGGAAAACATGTCATTTTTTTCTGTTCCTTGTGCTAGTATTTGATTGCATTGTCCACATCTCTGTGTAATTTGTCTAAATTATCCCATTGCATGGAAATAGAAAATAATAGTGCCCTAGGAAAGGCACCCTTATCACAAATGAAAATATGTTGAAGGGATATGTTCAAATCATACAGCATGCAAATCATAACCACATTACCAATTAAAGATGGAGAAAAAAAAAGGAATTTGTCATAAACAAAGTGCTTTTATTACTTGGATTATACTATTGCATAGCTCCAAATAACACTTAGTCCCCTGTGATACATATCATAGTCTACCTGAGCTCAGAATTGGGAAACTGCTATTATTTACTGAGAAAAATATTGGCATATGTTTTTCCAAAACATATTTTCTGACCTTCAAGTACCAAAAGTCCACAGAGAAGTACCCTGACAACTTCAAGAACAGCAGACAAATAGAAGGTGTTTAGCATCCGTTACTAATCTCTTGTTTTTCAAAAGAAAAAAAATTCAAACCCAAACACAGTCTGACCAAATCTATCTCTAACTTACTTGGTTTGTGTGACAGTTTAAAATGAAGCTTAAGACAAGGGGATTAACATATACTATGGAATCAGATGCTGGTCCAAACCCTTAGCTGGATGGGACTGGAGAGAATTCTCTTTTCTATTACAGGAAACTATTTGGCATCAATTGTTTCCTTTACAACTTTTAAATAGACCCATTGTCTCCAAGGCTTATCAGGGAGAGATTTAAACAAGCAAACTTCACCATATGTTCTGCACATGCAGGAAACAAAATATGAAAGAGTATATTTTTTATTTCTTATTTTAATCTCAATGAACTGATCATTACTAGATAACCATAGGAATACATTAGATATGAAATCACCAGAGGGAAAGAACCACATTTTTTAAGCTGTGTAAGAGTGGGAGTAAAAACATAAACTATTTATCTGAAGATCACTGAAAATTTGAAGAACTCCTGGAGAAATATATTAGTATTTTTAAAAATAGTCTCCAAGATTTGTATTCCCTGCTGGTATGGCTGCCTTATTCCAATACGAGCAGTGTGTTTTCTCTAAAAAAAGTCTGACAAGTTCCATTATTACGTTGTCATTTTTCTTTCTCCTAAAGAGAAGCAGACATAACATTACTTGATTTTAATATGAATAAACTATCTTCTTTTTGACAGTAGGCTAGCTGGTGTCAGGGGTTCAAGAAACTTACCTGGTTAGTGGAACAAGGCTGAGAATTGAAGCTACATTAGCTCAAAAGTTTCTGAAGTGTTTCGCTAGAGAAGTCTGCTCTCTGACTTATGACTTCTCTGCATGTAAATTGTGAACTTATTTTTAAGTGGTCTGATCACTAGTGTGCAGAAATAAACATGGCTCATTTTGTTCAAAACAAGTGTAGTTTGGTTATTCAGTCCTTGAAATTATTGAAGCAGACAAAGCGACTGCACACTCAGGTCAAATGTTGGGGTTGCTCTTCCATGAGCAGACAACCCAAACTCGGAAGCTAAAAGGAGATGTACATTGCAATTAAGAGAAACCAAGATTTTTTTGTTTGTTGGACCTTAAATTGGAGGCCTTTGAGTATCACTATGCATAAAATGGTCCTCGGAAGAAAAATACTTACAGACAAAAAACAAGGGAAGACCAGAGCAGTCTTTAAATGTAATTTGGAAAAGGCAAAAATGGAGGAATTCCTTCCAAAACTCCACTGTGTGGGCAGGTATTTCTTTCTTCTCAAATCATTTGTAGCTAAGAGTTGTCCTTGTCTTTCCTGAGGAGGAAAAAAACCAAACCAAAACCAAAAAAACAATCAAAAAACCAAACCTGTACTGAGATCTTAACAATTTTTAAAAAATACTACATACATGAGCCATCAATAAATCAGCAGTCATTTGAGCTGTGCACATTAAATTCCTCTTGGCACACTCCAACCTACAGCAGGGGTTTCCTCTTACATCACTGTGCCTGCAGTCTTCTTCCCTGGTGCAAATTAGCATGGTACGGGAGATTTCACTGGATAACTGACTTAAACGTTTCTGGATTTAGGGAAGTCAGAATGCTGTGGCATGACCACACTCCTGCTTCAGGACTGTAGACAAGATGACTTCATTCTTGGTTGCCTTCTTAGCCATTTCTGTGCCCAAGGAACACTTACTGCTGCAGGGTTTGTAATTCTCTACAGAGATGTTTCATCTTTTGACTTGAAACATTCTGTGTATTTCTATCCACTGGCTCATCTCTTTCCATCCCTTTTCTTTCCTGGTCTGGCTGGGAGGTCCTGTCATCAATGGTGCAGCATTCACTTTATTTTATACGTAGAAAATATAATTTTAAAGCAGTTTTTGTTTGTTTTAATTGCATTAGTCTACTCCAATGCCAATATGTCTTCCTAACTAATACTTCTGATGTTCAAATATGGTATGAAGCATAGGAAACATAACAAGAATTATTCTGTTTTAGAAGATGGACTGCAATGTGGATTTTCTCCAAAGGGAGATGTTTCAAGCAAGTTAATTTACTGATACTGCCGTAAATACACTGAAGGCAATGGAGCTGCACTGATTAACTATGCCTGCTAAAGCTCAGACTGACGTCCATGCTACCATTAGTTGTGTAATTATTACCCAAGAAGGGTTTCAGAGGATATTTTTTATGACACTGCTGGAGAACTTTCTATTACAGAATGCTAGCAAAACAGTATCTGAAAGCAGGTATTTTAATGTTCTTGCCCACTTGTAACTGGCTTAACACTGTAGACACTCTATTCTGTCTCAGAAATATGCTTTACTGCAAACCACTGACTGTTCCACAGATACTTTAAATCAAGTATTTAAATCTTCAGGAAAAGAAATCTGAAACTCAAATGATTTTGTTAATTTTATCTTGGCAATGCTGCAGAATGAAATGTATTTCTTTACACAAAGGACTGCAGCATCTGATGCACATCTGTTCTGCTCTGAAGAAAACAAAGCAGCTCCCTTTTCACTGTGTTCATCTTTTTCATCGTTAAAGCAAATAATGAACAAAATCAGATAATCTAAGGCACATGAAATTAGCATATTATTTAATCTTTCAGCTTAATATCTTGCCATCTGCATGCCTGTGTGCTTCAAGTACTTTCAGTGAAGCTGCACTTCCTTGGGGCAGCTGGCACACCATTAACATGAATGCTGTGACCAAAACCTCTATCTCCTTCCACACACCAGAACAGACAGTTTTCTGGAAAAACACCATGGTCCTACAATGCTATTTAAATAAACAGAGAGGTGTGGCTGAAATTCTGGTATTATTCACACAAAATATTTTAATAAATGTATTTCTTCTGTACCATCTTTTACTTTCTTTGTAGTTAAATTTACCTGCAGTCTCTTGCTAGCTCTTGCGTGCTTTAGCATCCATAAATGAGTTAATAATAAATCTCTTACCTCTGTTTCTTCATTTTGTAGGCATGCAAGCTATCTCTTTATAATTTATAATGAGTTGATATCCGACTTCACAGATTCTTAAATACCAGGAGGTCCAGGCAAATTTTAATTCAGACTGTGTACAGGATAATAAAAATTTGCATGATCAGCATAACAAAAGTATTTTAATGAACATCTTAGCGCTGTTATTTGCAACACCTTTGACAATTTTGTATTTCTGAGAAAAGCAGGTGGGGAAGAGGGGGGTGATTGGTTTTCTGCACATGATTTTGAGTGGTGCTGTAGCCATCTTGGGAAGTTTAGCTCCAAATGTAGGAGACTGAATTTGCAACTTGTTTAAGGTATGCTCACAGATGGCCAGTCCTGATTTGTAGCACTTCTACTAAGACAAGTGAGGAATCACAGACAGTAACACATGAAGTAGGAGCACACTATAGATACCAAAATCAACATCATGACAGCCTAAATATATGTATATATATGTATATGTCACATATAAAATATTAGTTATTAAAGCAACAGGACACACTGTGGTTGTGCTGTTTGTGCCAACTGATCTATCTTTGACTAAAAAAGTGATGTAACTAATGTCAATATAGAATGAGTTTCATATTTCCCTCCTTAAAATTTGATTTAATGTCCTGGTGGTGTTGAAATTTCAGAATGCTGTTGGAAATGTAAGATATTTCATTCATGTCTAGTATACTAACCAAAGTTGCAAAATAACAAATGGCCAAGATAAAACATGAAAAGCATTTAATTTTTTTTAAAACTGAGAGTATCTTCCTATTTCCATTCCAATTAAATCTTTCATTAAATAAATGTTACAGCTTTGTATAAAAAGTATTTATGCACAGTATTTGGAGGAAAACCAAAGTGAGTTCTGGTTGTAAATGGATTTCATCAGTTTAAAAAACAGTTGTAATCAAAGCACTAAAGTAAGCACAGGGAACATTTTTATACCATCCCTCAATACCAAAGTATTAGAAAAGAAACAAAATAGAATCAAACTTGGAAGTAAATTGTTTTCTACTTCAGCATATTATTCAATCTTCAATTATCTTGTCAAGGAAGTGGCTGAAAATATTGTATCATGTCAAATGTTTACCACCACAAGCCAGAGTATTACCACAATATAGAAACTAACTATATCCAGTATATCTAAATTGTGAGGCAAAGTATTTTTATTTGCTTCACTGTCGTCCAGAGAGCAATTGCCCAACATGACTACACTGCATTTGATAGTACTCTTGAAAAGCAGGGCTTGAGAGGTGAAAGTGCATGAAGCAGTCCACACTAGGATTCTATGATTTTAAAGACTTGCTTTTATTTTCAATCACATACACATAGTAGTTATTCATACAAAGAAATTTTTAAATCTTGTGCCTTTTTGGTTCTTCCTTCTGAAAAAATATAATTAGTCCAGGATAGAAGACACAGGTAAGTCATTTCCTGAAATTACTATACTTTTCTGAAAAGTCTGGTGGTGGTTGGTGGTTCAGGAAGCAGAGAAGGGGATGGAGCTGCCAGACTCTTACACCACACTGCTGTAGAGAAACTGTGCGTTTAACTCCTTCTCACACCTGAAAAAATCAGTCACTATCAGTAAAAAAGAAAAATGAGCCAAAACCACTTGAGCCGCTATTTTAGTTATTTTACAGAAAATAATTACATTTAATCTCAGCAGTTAAGCAGTTTCTTTCTCCACCTCCATCTGTATATAAGGCTTGACCTTGATTCTGACCCTGTTCAGCCAAATCTCCTCAGACAATGAAGGAAGAGTTTTTGCTTGAAGAAGGGATACAACCTTGGACCTGTGTGAGTGGTGTTAGTATAGGAGAATGTACACATGAGGTCTGAGGTGCAGAAATGACTGCAGCAAGTACCTGAATTTCCCTTTCTCATTGAGGTTTTAACTCTATGCTGCTCTGGCATCTATGACTGAGATAAGTAGGAGACTAATGCATGACACCAATGAACTCTGCTCCTACAACATTTTTGTCCTGAAAGGGGAGGATGAGTTTTTAGTGTATCAAGAACACAGAGAGAAAGTGTTAAACTTTAAAGAGTATTTTATAGGATAAAAGTACACCTCCCATACTTTTATCCCCATCACATTAGTTCTTTTGTTTGCTATTTTAAGTCCTGCTCAGTTGAGGAATAGTAATTTTCTTAGGAGCTGCCCGCCTTAGTCTTTTAAGTTTGAAACTCTCTCAATGGGTAGGTCAGAACTATATGAGCTAGTTAGAGAAGGGCTCCCACAGGCAAACCATAGGCTAGTTCTTAATCTGTGTGACAATAAATATTCTGGTTCACATTACTGAACCATCGTGTGCCAACTGAAGCCAAACCTACAATTTGAATTATTTGACATCAAAGGCCACAACCTCCATAACAGCAATTGTTCTCAGAGCCCTACACAGAATTAGAGAAGTCCTCCTGGCATGGAGGGGAACGATGGGGAATCCACTGCTTCTCTGCAATGCAAAATTAGCACACCTGTATTCAGACGGTGGGACAACGCATTGGCCATCCCTAGTTTTCCACTTTTCCCTACCCATGATGTGCATTCATATGTGTAGGTGTTTTAGGGGTAATCTCACACACGGTTACAAAAGTCTAACGCTCCAAAAGGACATGTGGTATTTAACCAACTTTTGACCTGAGCTGAAGGTGAAGTTCTGATTTGATATTATGAACAACCATTTGCCTACAGGGAGACTGTTTACAATTATTGGGTGTTATTTTGTTCTATTGTGCTCATTTAACTTGGTATTTCCTAGAAGAGTGATGACAGCCAGCACGGCTGTCAGATGTTTATTCATCAGTCAAAAATGCTGAACACAGCATCAACAACCAAATTGCTTATAGTTTCAGGGCTGTTTCAACCAGCTGCTTAGCAGTCAAGTAGCATATCAGTTCATTAGTGTTTATTATCAGTTTATTAGCACAACTTGACTGAAATGATTGTTCTTCAGTCTTAACAACCTGCTGTATTTTCTTTCAACATAAAAACTCCTAAAAACATTCAATGCATTCTCACATAAACACTTGAGTAATTGCAAAAAAAAACCCCACTCTGGTAGATTAGTTTGTTAATACTACTGAAGCAATTGTACTCTTCAATAGTTAAAAAGAATGGAAGGAAGAGAACATAAAATTTCCTCTGCATTGCAGTGACCTGGGGGCAAGTCTACACCCATATTTCAGTGTTATGTTGTAAGGAAAAAAAAAAAAGCTATTGTGCCAAAATGTTTCCAGGGATATTTTCTCCAAACACCACACTAATTGAAATGAACTGCTGCCTATATGCAATGTCATTTACTTTCCTAACTTGCCTTCAAACATTTTAAGCATTGTGATATGACTTACTCGCACACACACAGCACTTAAAGAAATACCTGACAGAAACTCACCACTTGAGACAGGCCTTACTGGATTCTGTTTTACAAAAAATTTGGTAAGGAAATATTTTCCATTTAGCTTGCTGAATTAATTGCAATATTTCATTTAGTTTCCATGTTGTTGTTGCTCTGACTGTTCTTCTTCCTAATGCTCTTCTGTGAAGAAAAAAACCAAAGTGCTCTTGTGTGCATTTACTATATTATGTAGTTGTTCTCTGTATATTAACTGTGTACCACCTATGACAGCAAATCAATGAAAATATGAATTCCTGCATGCACTTCACTATGAAATGCAAACTCATTAGCTCCTCATAGCAAGATTGCAATGTTGATTCAGTAACATTTTTTTCTTTACTTGTCATACACCTCTTACAGGCAATGTAGCAGGAATTTGGATGTGATCATCATTTTAAATGGCTTCTCTGACATAGGGAAATGAGAGATGTGATAATTACTGAATGCTATTATCTTTAAGAGAACTCATTTCCTGAGCTGATGGAGTATCCCCTAATAAATAAACGCACTAGAGCATAAAACAGAAGATTAAAAGCTGTATCACTTGGCAAGATGCATGGTTTTTTAAATGTCATAATGTTTGCTCTGTGTGGGAGCATCAGCTTCAGCTGTATAGAGCTAAATGAAAGTTTAGCCTAAAACAGTATTACTCACAGTGGTCACGTATGATTTCTTTCAGTCTGCCACTTCTGACTGCCTCCACTGCTAAAGAATTTGTTATAGAGGTAAAGACTAATTAATATATGGCAAGGTTGATTTCTGTAGTTTGGTGGTACTGGTGAGACCCCACCTGGAGTACCGCATCCAGCATGGGAGTCCTCAGCACAGAAAAGACCTGTTGGAGTGGGTGCAGAGGAGGCTGTGAAGACGATCAGAGGGTTGGAGCACATCCTGTGTGAGGACAAGCTGAGAGAATTGGGGCTGTTCAGTGTGGAGAAGAGAAGGCTCCAGGGAGACCTTATAGCACCTTCCAGTACCCAAAGGGGCTACAAAAGAGCTGGAGATGGGCTTTTTACGAGGTAGTGTTGTGACAGGACAAGGGGGAATGGCTTTAAACTGAAAAAGGGTAGGGTTAGATTAGATATTAGGAAGAAATTGTGAGGGTGGTGAGGTACTGGCACAGGTTGCTCAGAGAGGTTGTGGATGCCTCATCCCTGTGAGTGTTCAAAGACAAGCTGGATGGGGCTCTGAGCAACCTGATCTAGTGGAAGATGGCCCTGCCCATGGCTGGGGGGTTGGTCACTAGGTGATCTTTAAGGTCCTTTCCAACCCAAACCATTTCCTGAATCTGTGATCTTGTTTATAATATTAACAGAAATTGAAGGAAGGCATACTTAAGGTATGGTTCAGAGAATGCCTTTCCGTTAAAGTGGACATAAAAATGAAAAAAACCAACACAACAGATAGAGCAGAGATTTGAAAGCAATTTCCCAATACGATAGTGTTGGCCAATTGTACAGCTGTCTAAAGGCTGAGCTCTCTAAAGGGAAGATAAATACACTAACGTGTATTTGGATGTATCTTTGAATGCTCTGTTGGAAGAATTTGTCACTATAAAATTTCAAGTTGGTCACAGACCAGACAGGTGAAAAGTCATAAAAGGTAATCATCTAAATTCTTTGTGGTCTTTTATGTCCAGAAATCCAAGTAGTTTTGAAGAGATTTATGGTGGCCAAAAGTACCCAATTACCCAACTGGCTTAGCACCACTGTCATCTACCCCTCAGTTCTGTTCACTTGACCATATTTCTTGTTACCCCCTGTGCTACAGGGAGCCATTTACAGTCATTCATTATTGGAAAACCAAGAAAAATAACAAAAACTTACTGATAACGTAGAATTATGCTTTGTCCATAATTCTGGAGCATCCAAGAAACGCTCCAGACCACACGATGAACTGTCTCGAGTCAGTCTGGCTGGAGAAGAAATACAACAAGCAGATGATTTACAGGCTGAAGCGTTGGCTGAATGTTGCCCTTGCCGGAGCCTTGAGCACATTTCTGCCTTTAGGTGTCACTCTTCACCTGTACCGTGCATGCTCCTTGCTGAAGGGAGCTCTCTCTGTGTCACACAAGCTGAGTGAAGAAAAATTCCAGGGCTGTCGTGTTGCTACAGCTCTGCAACACCACATTCAGAGGAGCAAGATGAGCGCAGCATTAACCTGAGTTAAGGGATCTGACCTAAAAGGGAGCAGAAGCTGGGATAACCAGGATTGTCTTCCTGGTTTAAAAAAAACCCTCTTTGCACTGCACACTCTGATTTTTTAATTTTTTTTTTCCTCCCCACATGGATGATCCCATGAATTGGTCACAACGCTGTGCATATTTGATGTACAATCACAGTCCTGCTGGATTTTGTGCTACATAACAGCGGTAGTGAATTCTTGCAGCACATGTGAGTGTTAACCTTTGTGCTAAACGCCTAGAAAACCTATGATAAAACTGACGGACAGCTTGGTCATGCTGTCAATTTGTTCATGCTAGTAATTATGGCCAAAAAAGGGAAATTAAAACTTCCTTCATATACTTCAGAAATCATGTGACAATGTTGGCAAATGAATTAATTTAGCAATACATGCAGTAATTTTATTGCCGTGTCCACTAGCCCTGCCTTGCGCTTGTGACACGATATCAGAAAGCTGAAATTGGTGAGTACAACTGTGCTGAAACCTGACCAGCATTCTCCCACCGACCCACCTGCAGTCAGCAGCACGGTATTGTGTTGTAGAGTTGTTCCAGACGTTATTTTTCTCCTTTCCGGTGAAAAAAAGATGGGAGGTCTGCACATGGCCAAAAATAAGCGTTTTCCTTTATGCAAAGAATCATTATCATCCTTCAGCTAACTGACATTTCAGAAAGACATACACTAAAAATTTCGGGGTATTCCTGCTGTGAGAACACGGGTATGCATTCTGGCCTGTTACATGGAATTAGGCTTTTGAAAAAGAATTTGGACAGTGTTTTGGCTGCTTGGAGCTCTGAAATGCAGTAGTATTAGGTTTGACTCCTGGAGTGTTTCTCATAATGTTCATTGATTTTAAAACCAGAGCTTCATCCTTCAGTCCACTCAGTGACATGTTTCAATTTTACTTTCAATTTTACTGAAGGGAGCTTTTGGACGTACTCTGAATTTTTCTGTGCTCAAACCCTGTTAAGTCTGAATTGAGGCTGATGTTAAGTGTCTCCATTCTCCCTGAGCACCTACATCCACAAATCTTTCCCTGAAAGACAGACTGCTCCCTCTGGAAAACAGTTGTGGGGAGGGCACATTTAACAGCACCCTGTGATAACATACCTCCAGGACTTTTACTATTAGGGCACTTTTTTTGGTAATTATTCATATTAAGAAACACCCACGCAACAAAAAACCCCAACAAAACAAAACAAAACAAAAAAAGCCACAAAAAAACCAAACCAAAACAACAACAACAAAAAAAAATGAACCTTTATTCTAGCTGTGATTTAACATTCTGATGAGACATTTTAAACATTTCCTTCTAAGATGGTGCAACTGAACTAAAAAGTTGAATATCATCTAGATAATTCTGAGGACAAATCTTTCAAAGTATGGGCATAAACATATCTTCCAACACAAAAAATACCAGAGGTAATGTTTCTGAACATTTGTTCATGGCAAATCAAGACTTTAAGATGTTTTCATAGTATCTGCCATCAATTTCTTAATCTTAACAACTAAATCTTGTAACATCAGACATGCCTTTACCTAGCTAGAGTTAAGAGCAGAAAGGGGTCATTGTACAGTTTTTTACCTCATCCACACTTTAAACCATCAACTGTTCTGGAAAAAGGAAGGAGTATTTGGTGCAGCAGTTACTTATTTGTAATTTCTGCCTTGTAAATTTGTAAGTATCAAAGATAATTTCCCTTATTCTCCAATGCCAGATATGAAGTAGAGACGGGAATAATTTCACACATTTTAAATTTAGCCTGGAGGAATGTTAAATGCCCCCATTGTTAGTGCCAAGCTTATGATGCAAGAAAGGCTAAAATCTTCCAGACAGCAACAGCCAGCCGTTCCCCATAATGGGAGTTACTTAACAAAAGCCCCAGTCAATCCATTAAATAGACATATTCAGAAAGAGCTCTTTTATCAAGCACCCTATTTTCTATTTCATATATAAGTACTCCAGGAATGTGGACAGAACATCATATGGAAGCATCAAGAGACAAACAACACTTACTGCTTCCCAGCAGTCAATTTCAAAGTAAGACAAATACATTAGGAGATTGGTATTAATTTAACCAGCTAAATTTCCTCCCTGGCTCCTTACGCTATACTGACAGTCATGTTTTCTTGGAGGCAGAGCAGTTTTGCAGTTCGGGCTCCAAGCTGTACCATTACCAGAGAGGTTGGGAAAGCGTGTTGAAAAGCAACATAGTGCCAGTCTCTATCTACAAGTACTTGAACCCCAGCCACAGGGCAGTGAACGAAGCCTGCAGAATTGTTGCTTTCTAAGCACCAGGACAAACATAGAAACAGTAAACCCTGAACAGCCTTCAGCAGAAGGTTCCACAGGAGAAGCAAAACTTGAACTCTGTCACCAAACCAGAAAGCGAGTCCCACACAGGGATTACAACAGCCATAGGTACTGTGAGGGCCTGTGGGCTGGACTCAGTGCATCCAAACAGGCCTCACAGCACCACAGGAAATGTTCATCAGCTCGAGCACAAGGTTGTTCACTGACCTTCATCCCATTCATTTGCCTCCAGCAGAGAGGGAGTTTTGCAGAGGCACCCGGATCTCCTTCCGCACAGACGAGTCCATTGATCCGCTACAGCTCATCAGCGTCCCACACGTACGGCCTCTCACCACGCAGCAGATGTTCCGGCCAGCACACAAGCTGACTGAAGAAAAATTCCAAGGCTGCTATGATGCTGCAAAAGGTACTTCCCTTGAATACCAAGGAGCATTGCAGGAAACATTCCTGTTCATGTACGACTTCAGATTCTCTGGAATTTAGGACTCTGGGTTACGTGGAAGCTAAATCCCAGATACAGCTTCAGATCTGGATTAAATTATGTGTACCACATGTTTAGTGACATAAATCACACATTTTGACTCCTGAAAAAGGCAAACCTCTCAAAAAAGAGGACTCTTCAACTCTCTCAAAAGGTACCCCATAAAACTAAAAAGCTGGTCCCTTTAAGAAATGGGTCCCCTTATTTTATGATAAGAATCAAAAAGTCAAAATTCTCTAGCCACTGGAAATCAGAGGTTTCCATTATATGTTGTAGCTTGGCCAATCTCTGTGTATACAAACTGGGAGAAAAAAAGACCTTGAAAATTGTCCTTTTTTTTAGCTAGTCAGAGCAAAAAATCTTGCTTTTTTTTAGCAAGTCTTTTTTTTAGCAAGTCAGCTGTGTGTAGTATGCTTAAAATGACATTTAAGTACAAACAACTCTAAGAATTTCTTTTTTTACAGTGCTTACAAGTGCTTTAATTCATTCTTTTCTATAGGTCCCCCCTTCAAATTGTTTTGACAGAAGGCTGATTGTGATTTTAGTTTTCATCCCTACACATGATAAATTCAAATATAAAAATGTCCTTTGTGTATTATGCTTTGACTTGCTGGGAAATATTATGAACATAGATAGCTTGTGCAAGAATTGAAAAAACCAGCAATGTTTCCCAAAAAGATAGCACCTCTCTCCTATTTGTTCTTTTTTTCACCTAGAGTGAAGTGTGTTCAACTTTGTGAAAAATGAGTCTCCAAATAGTAACTCTGCAGTTGGTACGGTGGTTTGGGGGTTATGATTTTTTGTTTGGTTTTTTTAATGGGTTTGTTGTTTTCGGCTTGATTTTGTTTAAAATTTTTTTAATGAAGAGAGAGATGGTAGAAGGACTAGCTTTTACTTGACAGAATTCCTTCATTCTGTCCAGTCATGTGGTCATTCTCCCCCCACCCCCAATATTTTTTACTCAGTCAACCAGAGGAACAGACTCTAAAACTATTTAAAGACAAAAAGTCTGAATCTCGTGTGTCTTAAGATACCTTTATATTTATGTAGTGCTGTAAATGCTTCTTAAATGAAGCCCATCAGAAGGCGCTGAATTACCGAATTTAGTAATCCTGGCAATATCCACATGTTTACAGCTTTATCTGTGTCCCCTAGAGAGGGCTGAAGGAAAAGAAACAAGAAGCCAGGAGAGCTGTAGGAGCATACTTTGTATCTTCTTCATTGATACCCTTCATGCCATTCAAATAGGACTCCGGAATACACTACTTTAATTAGCAAAGCTTGTTTTAAAGTAAACAACACAAACACTCCTTATAGGACAGTCACAGTCTCCCCTGCTAGACATACAGGCTTTTTGGCAAGATCACATTCAAACAGCATGAAATTCACCCCTGTGCATGGCCCCCAGAAGGCCCTTGCACCATTTTAACTTCCATTTAGCTGCTCTGGATAGGAGCAAGTGGTTTGTGGGATAAGGACGGAGGTTTACTACAATTTTCCTCCAAAAAAAAAGATGGTCCAAATCCACATCCGTAAAGATCAGCAGTTTTACCACTATAAGGTCATAAAGGTGTAATATAGGCGTCATGCATAGAGTACATACCATGTTTCAATTGAGTCCTGTCCCTGCATGACTTTGAGCCCCAGTGAAAGTACAGATCCACAACGCGCCCGCAATTAAGCCCTCAGTCATTATATTTGCTGCGTTGTGCTGTTTACTGGGAACACTGCAAAGTCATTCAACTGACAGGAGTCAAGACAGCAGTGAGAAGAGTATCCTCACGAGGAAGCTCTGACAGGATTCCTTTGGACACATGGGAGAACATGAGAGTCCCATCTTAGTTCAGTAATTGCTAAACAAACAGAAATTGGAAATCATTAATGTGACATTGACCCATAAAACACTGATCACTGAGGCCCTGTTGTCCCCTGTGGAACAGGGAACAACAGATGGTCAAAGTAAACAGGGTAAGAACAAAACAATATGGAAATAATGTTGGTTCCTTAACAAATCTCTTACTGTAGTCCATTTCTGCTGACTGACATCGGTTGTTCTTTTCAGCTATAACTGTGTAACAAAATCGGACATGTCTCATCTTCCAGTCTTGATACTGAGCTGTTGTTGATTTTCTTTTGTTGGTCGAGTTTTTTTGGTTTTCTTTTTTTTTCTTTTTTTTTCTTTTCTTTTTTTTTTTTTTTTTACAACTACGTTTATCAACACTGATACATTACAGATCTTGTTAGTTATACTTTGAAGTCTGATCATGCAGAACTACAGGCAGGTGCAACTTAGATCTTATTACAGGATGGACATGGCAAGGTGAACAGTTGTTTTTGCTAGTTAAGATCTGGAGCTTTGTTACTGTTGTGGCTTAATGTATACTGGCCATAAGTCCCACTTACCCAATTTACTAAATATACATGATTCTATATGTACACTGAAACTTCCAGCACCCTCCTTTATCAGCATGTGACTGACTTAGGAGAAGGTCAGAGGTCAACCATATTTAGGCATACAGCGGCCTTATTGTAAAAGATTTTAACAGAAATAGCATGTTGGATTATTACATATTAGTTACAGAGGAAGGGAAAAAAAATCAATACAACTATTTACATTATAAATATCTTGCTTTCCAGAAGACAAGAATGGCCCTGTTCAGTGAAAATTAGCAAAAGAGACCTGTCTGAAATGATAAGCATGGTAGGGATACATTTATTTCCCAAATTGACTGTGTCTTACTTCAATATGTGCTTTTCAGCTTTTCCCTCTCAAGTAAAAAGGCACCATTAGCCTCAGTTGAAGTTTTTCAACATTCTTTTGTCAAATCAAACCCTCTTTAAAACTCAAACTTGCCATGGGTCAATGAGCCTGAACATGCATTAAGTTAAACATTTCACCTCTTGCAATCAATAGTTAATTAAAAAATACCCAAACCAACAACAAAAAAAGAAAAAAAAAATCAGGCCACATTGGCAAGTTCCTAATACATCAAGAGAATTCCACTAAATTCCACTGGACAGGTCTGTTTTCCAGCTTATCAGTGAAGATGACACATTCCCCATTCCCCTGCCTCCCCCAAGCATCTTACTAATTAAGACATAACATATTTGTATAATATTCAAACCTACTGCACAACGATTTTCTTTGTGTGTGTGTGAAAAAGATCACCTTGAGCTTGCAATCAGTTCACTGTGTCCTTTGCAAAGTGGTGGAAGTTCAAATAAGCACAGCCATCAGATTCTTGAAGATGTGTGGTTATATTACAACTACTCTCTTTATTCACACTAAGTATGAGTAGAACAGAGGTTCTGAAAATCACATCCCTATGTACACCCTCTCTTTCCTACAGACACATACAGAAGCAAAGAAAAATAATAGCTTAAGCAGAAAATGAACCATTAACTC